TTGGAAGCTTGTCGCAGAATCGGTGTAGATGAGGTGAGTGATGTTATTAAAAAATAATTGTAGGTATATACTAACTTTTCCTAACCTTAGAGAGGGTAAAAAGTTGAATAGCTTTGAGTCAATAGTGAAATCATGGTACTACAAAAAAATCTGGCACTGAAAATACTGAAACCTGCTTTAGTTTCATTTATAACGTGTCATTTCCTGTTCATGAAATAAAATGGTATTACACCTGGGCTTGATGGTTTTAAGTACATGTAGAAGAAGAGATACATACACACTTAAAAGTTATACCTACATTATTAGGATGACGAGTTGCGTCGATTTAGCCTCGTTTGTGAGTTTAAAAGCAAGCTAGTTCCTGAGGGTTAAAGATATCCCACTGAAATTTGGTAAACGGGCGCCTTTATATAATGCAATAATTATTTCTTGGCCGCTTTGGTGTCGTGGTAAGCAGTACGCGCTTTCACTCCCCAGCACCTGGGTTCAAGCCCTGGTCAAAGCAACATCGCAAAAAATATACAAAAAGGTTTTTTCTTAACAGCGGTCGTCCCGCGGCAGGCAATGGCAAACCTCCGAGTGTATTTCTGCCATGAAAAACAGCTTCTCGTAAAAATATAATCGCCGTTCGGAGTCGGCGTAAAACTGTAAGTCCCTCCGCTTTGTGTGACAACATCAAGGCGCACGCCACAAGTCGGAGGGGAAGCTCGGCCAAATACTAACAAACGTGTAGCCAATCTGATATATTAAGGGGGCTACTTCGTTTTCTTATTAGCATAGCTGCCGTGCGTGAAATGAACTTCATCACAATTTTGATAGACTACTTTAAAATTCGGTTGTTGTTATTGTTGTTGTAACAGCATGCACGCTGAAAAGACGATCCTTGCCACCTTTTACCCTTGGCTGATGAAGTTAACCAAATAACAGACGCTCTGAGAATTAGGCTGAGAAAGGCAAGAGCCTTGATTCCATTCTGAACATTGCCGGGGTCAGTACAGAAGCTCGGAAGCTGACTTTGACCGCACGACAGTCGGGTCTACATAACCGGAATGACCCAGATTTATATCTGGCCAAGGACTGTCACTCCTGCAACACTCACCAAAAGCTCTTTGGGGAAGTTGTATGCTGTTACAATAACAACCACAACTTTGACCGCAATTGCAATTTCCCGACATGGTCGCCTGGAAACGTAATATCATTTTAAGCAATGAAGAGATCCCGATTTCCGCAAAGTGTTTCAAAATGAACATTGGAAGAGAATCTGGCGACTTCTCTCAGAAACTAGATTTGAGTGAGCGAAAGGTGCAGATCGAATAGCATTTCAAGCATAAACATAGCTAGAAATATTCGTTACCTAAGCGGGTTAGATATCTAACCAGAATATATCTAAGTAGTATTCTTAATTCTGTATCACTGCTATGCCTTATCTTTGCCGGAAAGGTTGAAACTTAATTTTCATTTAAGGCGATGATGTGGTATAAGTTTATATAAAGATTTTTGTCGAGGTCTATATAATTTGAACAATGCATAGTTTCCTTATATTTGCTAACTCTAGCTGACAAATTATTATATGGCCATGAACTATTTAACTCAAAGCTATTCCCACTGACCTTCACTAACTGAATTAACAATTGTTGACATACATACATATGTATATTTAAATATCTGCATCATACTATAAACCCCATCACTTTCCTATTACCAAAATAAAAAATATAAAAAATACCTATTTGATTTATTAATTTGTCTAAACGGTCTAAATGCAAACAAAAAATCTGTTATTGGTGTTGGTTGCAGGAGTTGATTTGCTCCTGTGCAGACATTGTGCCCCCCTCCGACGACGCTTCCAACAGCAGCAGCAACTGCAACAGCAATAACAACAAAAATTCCATAAACAATAACGATCCCCAAAAACAACAACAAATCCAAAATAGTATGCAAATAAAAGAAACAAATGAAAATTCACAAAAGTTGCCTAATCCCTCAGCTGTTTTGAAAACTGTCTCAGCGTTGATTGCCTTGGATCATAATCCACATCATCAAAATATACGAAATTTGCAACAACAATATGAGTTAAAGTTGAAATTGCAAAGGCAGCAGGACAAACTGAAACAACAACAACAAAAAGAAGTAGAGACTGAACAGCCACAAAAGCAGCAGGCAAAACCACAACAACAAACACACTTCGATTATCAACGTCGTTGCGTTTTAACACAGAATGATAATGGGCGTGGCGACGGCGCCTTTGAGCACGAGTATGAGCACCAACTCACTGCAACCTGCACCAAAGAACAGATGCTGCAGCCAACGTTGCATACGCTTGGCCTAGACAATTCCACATTTAATTTGAGTGCAAAGTGTCATTTCGACGTAACCGTGCTGACGAATGGACACGGTGGTAGTGGTGGTAATGGTGTTAGAGGTGATAATGGTGAATGTGGTGTTGGCATTGAGACGCTGAATGCAAACGACGATTTCGATAATGATGACGTCGATGAAGGCGTTGGAGGCGATGAGGAGGAGGATGAGCGAGATGAGTTGGACGCTGACATGAATGATGCTGAGGGGGCGCAGAGCCACAGTAAAGCAAAACAGCAGCAGCAGCAGCAGCGCCATCATGTTGCAGATTTTTTTCGTCATGCCAAGTTGAAAACATTTCAAAAGATTAAATTCAATTTACTCTCCTCCTCCTCCTCCACCTCCTCCGGTGGCAGCACGTGCATCAACTACGGGCATGTGAACAACAATCAATGCATGCTGCAAACAATTGTGGAAACCGAAAGCGAAGTAATCGGTGGAGTTAGTGGCGGTGGTGGCAGCGGCAACATCGGTGTCGGTGGCGGCGGAGGGGGTGGCGCAGGGGATGGCGCATACCAGCTGATCAACGAGAAGCCAACATTCAACGAGGAACTAAAACTAAAAGTGGAAAGTCGTTCAGTTGACGGTGGCAACAAGTACAAGTTGATTGATTACAGCGCGCTGCATAAGAAGGAACCAAGCACTGCGGTTGATGAATCCTTGCCGATTGTTTCGAAGCGTATTGAGTTTTTCGAACATTCTTCTGCAGCCAAGGTAACGCCATCACCGAATAACAGCCTAAATGGAAGCCTTAATAGCAGCACTGGCGGGAACACTAAGGTGAAATGCACTGCAACAACAACAACAACAACAACGGCAACTAAATCGATGCAATAATAGCATATTAGCATTTATCGCGTTGTCGAGTTGAATGATGACAAGCTGGCTACCGACGAAGGCAGCGTCGGCAAGTTGGTGGACGTTGGTGGTGTGAACGGTGGTGATGCAGCAGCAGCAGCGCAGGAAGCCGGCACTTCTTTATTGCTGAAGCACGACTCCCATGTGCTTACAATCATACTATCGTGTGTCTTCATAGTCACATTCTTGTTGCTGGTCTTCTTCCCTTTGCCCGGATAGGAGGCGCGACAAAGGGGTTTAGTTTATGCAGCACTGCTGTATAGAGCTTAAGCATTGGTTTTATGACAGCGGAAGAAGAAATATGAGTTTTTAACGATAAAATATTTGATGGAAAACTTTAATTAGTGAAAGGATTTAAATATTTAACGAAGCGAAATGATGAAAATTGCCACTTAATGTTTATAAAAAGCACTGAAATGTTTTCGCTTTCAGTTTTGACAGCCTCTGCTTGCTCAAGAAATTTATTCACGAAAAGCGATGTTTAATTTTTTACTATATAGTATAGTAACTCAAGTTTGTTGTACATAATTAGTTTTTATTGAATACTTTGGACAATTACTACTACGTTTATAAGTTGATTTAAAATGTACATTTAAATGTATTTACTAATTTACTACTTTTATATATCTTGAACTCGCTTAGTATCTTAAGTTAGATTATATCTTAAATTACTTAAAGTAACTGAAAACTATTGGGTATACGTAGTCTTGGGGTACTCTTAACAGCAAAGACTTCTACGTAATCAGCTTTAGTTGTGAAGGTTTCTAAATTCCCTCAGAATCGAAACTATAAAAAATTTTTCGTACAAATTTTGACAATTCGTAAAAGTTTAAGGCCAAATCTTCAATATTGTGTTTAAGAAAAGAAACTGCAGTTATGATATGATAGAAGGATATAAGATGTTCTTTGCAATTGCAAAATATTCTGTAAGGAAATTGCAGTTCCAAGTTTTTTTTTTTTTGTACGATTATATTATGAAATGCTTTCTAATAATTTTTAAAAAACCTAACCTTTTAATAATTATTATTTTATAAAAGGGGTATTTTATTACATTGAACAAAAAAAAATGTATAATAATTTTCTTTAATCAAAAACTCCAAAAATATGCCTAATTTTATTACTTTAAACTTTTTATTTTAAAATTTAAATATTGCTGCCGAAATTGTATTTATGTAAGATTTAGTATATATGTTAGTACATTTGTTACGTATTTTAAAAGCTTATTGAATTACATAGAATATATAGATATGTATACATATAAGTCTGTAATTTATTGCCACCCAAAGTTACACTTACAGTACAATTGCAAATCGGCTTAAATGACCACTAACTACCAAACTTGAATAATTATAAGTTTTAATTTACATATTTCGAATTGTTTGATATTATAAGTATTATTTTTGTTCAATTAAAAGTGCAAAGCATCTATTGGCAATTCCATTAATATTTCTGTTTCAATTTGCTACTTTGAACATGTCAATAAAATAAATATTATTTATTAACTAATTTTGCGAAGCTTTGACCAACAAGTTTTATGGATTATGAACTTGACTTTTTACCTGTGAAATTAAGGCTTCTTATGTTGTACAAAGTAATATATTAATGTTTTTGAACGATTACATACATTTATGAATACTTATTTAAATTTATAAATTTGTTTCGAAGTACTAAGTATTTAACCATTGAATTAATTTCTTAAAAATAAATAGTTTATATTCAAAGTGTATTAGTTTAAGTTTCATTAAGCTTTTCATAAATATCTAACTGAGTAGAGGCTGATTTTTTTTTTAAAGTACTTAAATGTTCATTTCCAAAAAAAAAAAACGAAAACCAAAATATTTTTTAGACTAGGAAACGGAAGCAATTTTTAAGCGCTAAATTTACTAAACATTTTCTAAATTATTTTTGCATAATTGCTTTTCCGTAAGCATCACTCAAAAGACTTGATTTTGTATACCCACTTAAAAAGTGTTTCGATATAGCGCTATAGCAGATTAATTTCGTAAACTAATATAAAAAAAAAA